GTGGAGGCATTCCAGAGGGAGGTTAGGGAGAGGGAGGCGGGAGAGGCGATGAGTTCCTGGGGTGTGCGGCAGCGACGGGGAAGAAGGATATTAATCCGAAGATGATTTATGGGAAGGCGCAGGCTAACGATACTCAGTACGTGTTTCTTTTGCCTAGCCTTCAGGGAGGATTGCTGATGGGGCGACAGACATTTAGTGACGAAGATGCAAGATGAGTTAAAGCGCTGCAATTGTGTCAGAGTAAAGTTCGGCAGAAGAAACTTCCTATGAGGTATCGATGCGGAGTATCAGTGGTGCGTGCCGTTTGGCGCACAGAGGGCACAAGAGGAACTGACACACTGCCGGGACCGACGTAAACTCCACGTTCTACTTTATCGCTGAAAAACGAATTGATTTCGGGAGCTTGTCCGGGAGGTATTCCGGTGTGTCGTTGTTTCCCTGCTGCGTGCTGCACCTACGTCTATGTCTTGCCTGCTATGCATATGTTTACTCGCTCGTTGCTAACGAATTATCTACAGGTTGTATAAAACAAGGATCTGGATGGCCTCTTTACAAGGCCCGGAGGGTACGAGCAGTAATTGCTCCCCTCCACATCTATACAAGTAACGACGGAAGAGGAACAGAAGAGCAGGATGGAATCCAATCCCAACCACACCACGCAAACGCAAACTATCACGATCACATGACACCCCAATCTCACGAAATGTATGTATCTATGTATGATCTAGATATGCAATATCCACATTCTTCATCGCACATCTAGAACCCTTTTTTTGTTCTTTCATTTGTTTCATGCTCAAGTTCAAGTTCAAGCTATTTATGGAACCATGTTCGTTCATGTTCATGTTCTGGTTTTTGGTTTTGTATCGTATGTTCTCGTGTACGTTAGTGTAGAGGTTTTTTCTGTCTTTTGGTGGGGTTTGTTTGGAAGGGATGGAGATGAGAAATGGCCCTGACGCCTTGTATTAGTATCGTATATCAATCCAATATATATATTGTGGTGCTCTACGTGCATAGAGGCAGTAAATGAAAATGTATACAATGCGTCCGTATGTCGATACAGGGGTAGAATGTGGGGGTCGGGACCGATATCACTATCAGGATCCAATAAGATCGTTCATGAGTGCAATCATGATCGCACAATCAATGTTGAGCCGTTAACTTGAGGTTTATCCGCTGCGAACTCAAGGGCGGACCCGCTGCTAACTTAAGAACGGCCCCGCCAGCATCTAACTCGCAGGCAACTCATTCGCTTTCGCTCAGCAGTGACTACAAATTGCAAATGTAACGCGTTAGCCAGACTTGGCGATATAGACATAAGATAATAACGCACCCCAAGCACGTCGATCCATAGGACATTGCTGTTTCGAAGCAGCCGTTCCTAACCATTTGAGCAAGCAGTGCATGTGGAATACGTGACTGCATTCGCCCCAGACTGTTGTGACAGAGGGTTAAGATTGGTGGGTGGTCGTTACTTTACGCGAGAAAAGGTGGAAGGGGGACGTGACGAGCGGAAGAAATGCGCGAGGCACGACAAGCGCACAAAGGAGCGAAACTCACTCACTTAAAGGACAATCATCTCCCGGCGTCTTACACGACGGACAGCACCCCTCATACGGGACGCGACAGATCCCACAGACGTCGCCTTCGTCGTCTTGATCGTGGTTTGTGTTTCCTGTGTTCCAGCGCCATTGAGCGACGGCGCTCCAGTGTTTGATGTGGACTTTCATGGACTGGTATGCGTTTGTGTGGAGTATGCAGGAGCGTCCGAGGAGGAGGGTTTGGGGTTATTTGGTATTGTGTACGCGTCGTGGGTATGTTAATAAGTCTATTAATATTAGTAATATGTACTCGACTCTCAACATGAATCCCGGGACCTGGTGCACTGATCTTGGAGCTGATCCTCACGCATGTTCTACATATTCCGAGCTTTAGATCCACGAGCATCTAGAGGACTTCATATGGAGGAGATCGGACAACTGGTCCTCGTCCTGTCTTCATGGATGTTGATTATGGTGTTCTCTGACCATGGTCAGCATTCCTGAAGGCACGGGACGCATAATTTATTTACACAGTATTGGTGGTCGAGGTTGTATCTCTTGCTCTAACATCCAACTTGTATTAACTAATCGTGTGCTAGCAAGCTTCATGATCAGTCTCAAGGATGGAACGTTCAGCCGTAGCCTCCTGAAGCAAGATACGGAAGTTGTGATTGCATCTGCCGATACTCCTGAAGGCATTGGCAATTACTGCGGGTCTCACGTCGATACTGGGCTCCACCTGCCTCGGAAATAGTGGATTACAACTTTGTCCTTGGCGCTGAAGATTTTTTGCGGTTCGTCCAGCCTTGGAATTTTGCTGTAGCACATTCATAAAATGTTACATAGCCCCACCCAGAAGTTCGGACGTCGTTGGAAGGCCTGTTGGGATCCTGAATACAATTCTTATTACTCAGCATCCGATATGTGCGTGAACAGTGATGCATGATGAGGCGTCCGTGCAAGATTGTTTTGTAGTTCAGCGCTAGTAACGCGTTAGCAACGCGGAACCTCAGTGTGCACTAGTCCCCCTTAACAGATTATAGACGAATGAAGACATTGTTTCTCCTGACTCTGAGTATGCACGTTCATTCATCGCTTTTGACACGTCTAAACTGTTATTGCCAGAAATGTCCTCGACTAGTGCTTGAATCGAGAGTCGGTTGTCAATACATTGAATCCATGCTTGGACCTCTAGTAGCTGGCATAGATTTCAGACTGCTGCTAGTACCACCAAAGGCGCTGAGTAAAGCAAGTGCTCAACATCTGTCTCAAAGTTACTCTCCATGGATGGTGAAGTCTTCACGTGATGACGTGGGCAGCTATGTACGCTTATCTTACTTTCAGCGATCCCGTAGCGAATACCGTACTGTAAGTACCCTGCATTTAGCGAAAACATACCATTGTACAGTGATGAGAAATGTCCACAGTGCCAGTGTAATAATTTCATGTGTCAACTATTGTCCACAACAATGCAGCCGATAGAGTCAACGGCGCTGTGAGCTCCACAGCTGAAGACTGCCCAGACTAAAGACTTGAAGACCTGTGGACTTGTGGATACGATTGGTTATATAAAAAAGATCGTGCAGATGATCGAGGGCTACCAACAGCTCTTCATCATGCATAACGCTCTCAGAGTCAACGATATCGTCTACGTTATACTGCAACACGTCAAGTCCTCTAAACCGAACTTGGTAAACATGGCGATGACCTGCTCCACGTTCTCAAATCTCGCGCTGGACATGCTATGGTCTCAACAGGACAATTTGACGCCCCTCATCCAGTGTCTCCCGCGAGACACTTGGACAGTCTGGTACGGTAGCGCTATTGTGAGCGATGTCTGCTACATGAGTCTTGACAGGACAATGCTCACTGTACTCCAATTTGCAGATTTTTTCCCGCGAACCGCTACCCACGGAGTGGGAGCGTGTCAGGATCAATGCGGCAAGGATACGCGAGTTTATCTTTACGGGGTACACTTGTCGTTCCCCGAAACCAAGTGGCCCGGTCCTACAGCAACTTTTTGAGCTGTTTCCGCCTGCTGTGTTGTTCCCTCAACTGTGCACATTGCATTTCAACACAGTATCTCGGCATTTACTCAACTTCGGTTCAGAACTCTCGTTGCTTCGCCAGTTCCTCTCGCCAGGATTGGAAAGCCTCACATTTAACGTACTGCCCGGCACTCCGATGCACGAGGTAGAGCAATTGTTTGATGCTCTTTTTACTGAAGCGCCTGGCCTCCGGCAACTATCACTACACAGTGCTCACAACCTTTCGGCCTGTCCTTCTAAAGTGCCTAAGCTGCCGAAGAAGCTGAATGGACTGTCTATTGGCCTGCTCGGCATGGATCTGATGAAGCAGATCATTCCCAATATCCAGCATTTGCGCAGTCTCCAAACCCTTACACTGGCTTTGGGCAAGTCAGTTGATATGGTATTCCAACCATCAGGTGGTATGCCACTTGAATTGAGTACGCTCAAACATCTCTATCTCCCTGGCGCCCGCTTGGAAAATTGCATATCCTTCCTTCATAAAGTTACCATGCCACGATTGTCGGTCCTCGAAATCTCGTATTACACAACTGCTCAACCAGCCGAAATCACCGCGGTCATCGAATCCTTATCTACGTCTTGCAAAACATTTGCATTCCTGGAAGATATCACTGTGGTCGACTATTCGGAAAACCCCTCGGAGGAACTTGGGCCTGACGACCAACTCCATTCCTCTATTTTCCGGCCTTTGCTCCGGTTCAGGAGGCTGTCGAGTGTCAAGTTTATTGACATTGGTAAATACTGCCTGGATGACGCGTTCATCGAGGACGTTGCAGTTGCTTGGCCGGATCTTTGTACGTTGACATTCGCCTCAAAAGTACCTGGCGAATACCAGGTCACCTTGACCTCTGTGCTTTCATTAGCGACCAGGTGCAAGTCGCTTCATGACCTGCACTTAACGTTCGATGCCACACATTTTCCGACACTTCCCCGTGCGCCGGATGGAAACCTGGAACTTTGGGCCACGCAGACGGCCGTCCGCAAGCTACACGTTGGACACTCGAAGGTGTTGGAAGCATCACATTTCCACCTCTTCCTAGCAGTGCTGTTTCCAAATCTAGCCGATCTCAAGTATTGTTTCCATTTCGATGGTCTTTCGGCGTGGATACAATTAGAAGAAGCATGGAGCGAACTGCTGATCGAGCGGGAAAACTCTGCAGACGAGGCAGCTTCTTGGCCAAACTTTCTACTGGAGCTACAGCCTTAGTCGGAGGGGGAGGACCAAGTGGAAGATGAGGAATGGGAGAAGGAGGACAAGAATGACTTATTGTGAGGATAAATAGGAGGTCTCAGGCTGTACATGAAATAGTACGATATGTTAGTTATTATGTACCTTTGCTCTATATGCTTGTGTATGTGCGCGATGTGCGGCCAATCAAATTTGAAAGACAATCGCGAACATTATTGTCCCTCAACCGGTTTGAGATGAAGAAGAATGCTGCTTAAGCAATAGAAGCATTTGCGATACTGCGCAACAAGGATCTGAAAACATCAGACGTGAGGCTGGTTCTTGCTCGTTGGTTAGGTAAAAGCTCTTATACGAGATTGTCACTAACCATCTTTCAGGTGGCTATGATCCTCGTCTAGAGGATAACATACGCACGCTGAAATCTCTCATTGAACTGGTACAGTTCAGTGGTCTGACTTACAACATCGTCACCCCGTTGCAGTCCCGCGTTGCAGTACCGTCGTTCCCGAAGATAACCTCGAATGAGCCGGATATAAAGTTGTTCCTCTTAAACTTTACCCCGATGAACTGGTGAATAGCAGAGACATGGGAATACCAGCATGAGATCTTTGGCGCAGTGAGGATCATCCAGTCCGGAAGGCTAGGTTTGAAAGGGAGTACAGAGTTATCTTGAGTCGCACATGTGACATTTGGATGGTGCGAAACACTAAGAGAGGACAAGGTGGTATGTCTGCTATTTTGAGTGTCCGCAGAGGTCCAGAGGTCGGAACCGGAAGCTCCAAAGTACTCTGTGGAAGAAGCAATGGCGTTGATATCAGCGGGCCGACGAAAGATCGATTCCAAGTCGTCCAAGGGTCCTTTGGAGGGCATAGCAAAAGCGGGAAGGGGCTTGAGCAAGAAGACTTGAATCGTTTTCAACAGCACGAGCTCAGGCTACGCTTCTTATTCACATAGCACAAAGTCCAGTTTTGCTCGTCAAGCTAGTTGCTTAGTTTTCAAATGTATTAGGAGATGTAAGGATGGAACGACATCCTTGGAATATATGCTAGTGTGTGCTGTTGACATTATATTCTATGGTTTAACATCGGTTCTTCGTTCTTATCTTGAAATCCACAGGACTTACTCTGAGCAGCGCTGTTAGTTGATTTGCCCTTCCAAAGCATACGCATATCAGTAGGTTTTCTCAACCTAAGAGATGGGAGCACCATGCGACGTGACCATTAACAGGACCACGCATTACCATTGTTGAGTAAACTCAGAGATGGAGTATTCTGTGGGTCGGCCAAAAGCACCCGATCCAACCCTCGCCGTTATAGAAGCGTGCCAGAAAGCAGAGCAGGAAGCAAGGATGGCCAATGCTGCCAAGGAGGCTGAAGGCGAGTTGAAAGAATGCATTCAACCTGCAGGGACTCCCATACCTGGAGAAGTTAGCGCCGAAAAACAGAAAGTTCAATATCGTGAGGGCCTTGTCCCCTTCGCAGTAGTCGAGGTGGCAGGAGGAGGGAAATCATCTCTCATCAATGCCTTCCGCGTTTTAGGTAATAACAATATCAGATCTGTAGACACTGGCGTCACCGAGACAACGCTAGCCATGGTTAGACTCCCCGACCCCAATGCGGAATATATCCTCGTGTCTGGGATATCTTGGACTAGACTCGTAACCAGTAGATCTCTTTGAGATGTTGAGTGCTTGACATAGTCAGACTGGCGAAGCGAGGAGTTTGAAATTTGACAGATGCCGGTTTAGGTAATCGTTGTATTTGTACAGCGTTGACTGCTAGTTCGCTCCTTAACCAAAGTATTGTATGCTTCTCAGACATCATATTGAAACTTAACATGGCGCATAGTCGGCTCGAGCGAGAGCAGCAGACAGGAGCAGACACATAACTTGTAAGTAACTAGTACTGTTCGGCGCTGCGTGCCGCAAGGTTTAATCCAAAGTCCGACGATTATCTAAGGTTACCATTTTAGTAGGGGTGCATGTATGAGGGGGTCGTGTGCGTTGTGCGAAGTGCGCAGTGCGCACCTAACTTTGAGCGTTCCTATTAAATGTTCTATAAAGCCATCGTGAAGGGGAAGAGGCCCCTTCAGGTGGCGTCTCATGCTATCACGTCTACGGCGAACAGCTCTTCTGCTCTTTTTTCACGCGTCTTTGTCAAGCGTAGAATCAGTCTATCAAGCACTGTGCGTTGTCTCAAGCGGGGCGCATTGAGACGATCGATTTCAACTAGAAGCGGTATTCCTCCAGAAACTACGCCGCCGCCGCCACCATTGCCAGGCTCGCATGGCGTTCCGCTCTACAGTAGGTCTTTTCGTGGATAAGAGAGTATGTGCACATCTGACCTCGCCGAATTTAGGACGTCTTATGCTCGCATGGACGAAAACTCCAACAAAATGGTACCCGCTTCCCTTGGCCGTCGGGGCCATTCTCCTTGTCGTCATCCAATACCGCAAGAAAGTAGCACGTTTAGAGAATGAGGTTCATGTCGATGATGAAGGTCGTGAAGTCATTAAGCTCAAAGGTCCATGGCATGTGCGTATCACTGATTATTTATCGTACTACGTTTGTTAAACTGGTCTCGTGCAGGTCCACGTAATAGGCGCCCTTCCTCTCCGAAACATGTCGCGCGTCTGGGGCTACATGAACTCACTCGAACTTCCTGTTTGGATACGGCCCTATGGCTTTCCGGCTCTATGCATACGTTTTTGGCTGCAACCTTGAGGAAATCGACCCTGACGATCTAACGCAATACCCAGCCTGGTCAATTTTTCTACCGAAGCTCAAACCTGGTGCTAGGCCCATAGACAACGCTATCCTCGTAAGAATTTATCTCTGTTAAAGGACTTCTATCTTAACTATATTATAGGTCAGCCCCGCCGACGGCACCGTTTTACATCTCGGAACTATTGAGAATCTTCGAGTGGAGCAAGTCAAGGGGATCACCTACTCATTGGATGCTCTCCTCGGCGTGGATCGTTCAGATCCAGAAAGCCCAACTTCGACGGTAATCGAATTCCCAGACCGAGAAATGTCACACGTGACGGACCAAGAATTTGCTAACGTGAACGGTATCGAGTATAGCTTAGACCAACTCCTGGGTGCATCCACACCTTCCACTCCGGGTACCGTGACGCCTCCAATCACAAGAACTCAGTCCGCCTCCGAGGTAGAAACGTCTTCCGTGCCGAAGAAATTCGGCGAGCAGGTTGACGCGTCTGTGGAGCATCCAGGATCCCTCCAAGAAACTATCGCGCATGATGCCTCCGTCGCTCGCGAAATGGGCGTCAGA